TGAGGCTAGGACTAAAGGTCCAGAAATTAGTAGACCCCATAGTCAGTGTCCTCGCAGAGAACCGCACGATGCCCGTTGAGGACTATGTAGAGGGAGTCCAAGCGTACTTTCGCCTAGAGAAGGATGGGAAGGTGGAGAAAGTTCTCCATTCCCTGACTCTCCTCGTACAAGATGACCTTCCTTTCGATGTAGTGTTAGGAATGGATTGGGGAGAGGCAGCGGGGGCCACACTCCATGTGAGAGAGCATGAGTGTAGGCTCCCTAGTCCRTCAGGCGAAGTGAAGACTGCTCGCCTGTTCCATGCGTTCGGTGTAGATAACACCTTGGAGCATTGCTGTCTCTGTGCTCCCTCGTTCGCGCGATTAGTAAGAAAGGAGCAGTTAGAGGAGCAGGTCTTTGTGGTGTATGTTAGACCTGTCACTGAGGGCCAAAAAAAGGATAGTTCCACAGACCCAACAATTGCCAAGCTGCCGGAAGAGTTCAAAGATTTGACTGAGTCACCGACAGGAGTAGTGCCGCGACCCATCCAGCATCGGATAGAGATAGAGCCTGACAGTAGAACTCCTAAGGGTGCGGTCTACAGGATGTCCCCTAGAGAGTTAGAGTAGCTTCGCAAACAGTTAGACGAACTCCTTGAGAAGGGTTGGATCAGGCCCAGTTCGTCTCCTTTTGGAGCACCAGTTTTGTTTGTCCCCAAGAAGGAAGGAGAACTTCGTATGTGTATAGACTATAGAGGGTTGAATGCGATCACAGTGAAGAATGCTTAGCCGCTGCCCAGAATAGACGATCTTCTAGATCGGGTGCAGGGTTGTAAGTATTTCTCTAAGATAGACTTGAAGTCCAGATACCATCAGATAGAGGTTCATCCTGATGATCAGTACAAGACTGCGTTCCGGACCAGATACGGGCACTATGAGTTCATAGTGATGCCCTTTGGACTAACCAACAGGCCAGCTACCTTCCAGCGTTGTATGAATGATCTGTTCAGACCGTGGTTAGATAAGTTCGTAGTAGTTTATCTAGACGACATCTTAGTTTTTAGCAAGACCCCCCAGGAGCATCAAGGTCATCTGAGGCAGGTCTTGGGGAAGCTTAGAGAGGCTAACTTCAAGATCAACGCGAAGAAGTGTGAGTGGGCCAAGACACAAGTCCTGTACTTGGGCCACATATTAGACGGAGATGGCATCAAGCCAGAGGACAGCCAGATAGTGGCGATTAGAGATTGGCCAACGCCCCGCACATTGACACAATTGCGGTCATTCCTAGGCCTAGCTAACTACTACAGGAAGTTCGTGAGGAACTTCTCCACTATCGCCGCTCCCTTGCGCAGGTTGTTGAAGAAAGAGACAATCTGGCAATGGGATAAAGACTGTACGTCTGCGCTCAAGAAGCTAAAGCGCGCATTAATAGAGTATCCTGTCCTCAAGGTTGCAGATCCGTCCTTGCCATTTGTCGTCACCACGGACGCGAGTCTGTATGGGATAGGCGCCGTGTTGCAACAAGATGACGGCAACGGCTATAGACCCATAGAGTTCATGTCCGAGAGGATGCCCTGTGAGAAGGTCGCTACCTCCACGTATGAGAGAGAACTCTACGCTCTCAGGCAGGCTTTAGACCATTGGAAGCACTATCTGCTTGGGAGGCACTTCAAAGTGTATTCAGACCACGAAACGCTTAGATGGTTAAAGACTCAGGCCAAGATGACACCTAAGTTGACTAGGTGGGCCGCAAAGATAGACCAATTCGACTTTGAGCTCAAGCCAGTGAAGGGCAAGTACAACATAGTTGCGGATGCTCTGAGTAGGAGATTAGACTACTTTGGAGCTGTACTACACTATCTGGATATAGGGAGAGACCTGCAGGGGAAAGTGAGCCAAGCATATGCGCAGGACCCTATCTATAGCGACCTCCTAAAAAGAGTTAGAGAGGCCCCAGAGACTGAACCAGATTACCGCACTACATATGGGTTGTTGTTTGAGAAGACTACTGTGTTTGACTGCCTGTGCGTTCCCAACAGCGAAGAGATCCGCAGTTTGATTTTAGGGGAATGCCACGATACTGAAGGGCATTTCGGTTGGCAAAAGACATTAGCCAACCTGATGCGTGCGTATACCTGGCCAGGGATGAAGAATGACTGCATAGAGTATGTCCGCAGTTGTAAAGTGTGCCAGAGAAATAAGTCTACTACACGCGCGCCCTTAGGTCTTCTCAGGCCCTTGCCTATTCCGGATCAGCCGGGAGACTCAGTGTCTATAGACTTCATGGACACGAAAGTCAAGAGTAGACATGGTAAGAGCCAAGTCATGRTCATAGTCGACCGTTTTAGTAAGTATGCAGTTTTTGTTCCCTTGCCTGCAGAGGCACGTACAGATTTAGTAATACAGAAGTTCTTTGACTTTTGGGTTAGTGAGAATGGTATCCCATTGTCAATAGTTAGTGATAGAGATAGCCGTTTCACCAGCCAGAACTGGCAAGAACTCATGAGAGTCCACAGATCTAAGTTGTTAATGTCGTCCGGTCGTCACCCAAAGACTAACGGTCAGACAGAACAAATGAACAAGATCCTACAGCAAGTTTTGCGCATGTACATTAGACCAGATCAGATCAACTGGGATGAGATGTTGCCCAAGGTCGCTAGTGCATACAACAACATCGTGCACCTATCCACCTGCCGCACTCCCAATGAACTGCACAAGTCCTTTAGACCGCGCAGACCGTTCGAAGGACTGAACCGGGATCAGATTCACAGATTACCGCCCGGTACCAGGGAGTTTGCGATACAGCACGAAAAGGAGTTAGCCACTGTTGTTGAAAACCTTCAGAAGGCCCAACACAGAATGATAGAGCAGGCTAACAAGCACCGTCGCCCATCATAGTTTCAAGTAGGCGACTTAGTCTGGGTCAAGGCAAAAGAGTTTGCACCAGAAGAAAACATCTCGCAGAAGTTACTGCCTGCATATAGAGGACCGTGGCCGGTTCTAGAAGTCAAGGGCGGAGAGGATGGACCGTCCTATAGCATTGAGATTCCAGCACACCTTCACACATACCCTGTGTTTCATGCTTCAAAGCTGCTGCCGTGTATCACTAGTCAACAGTTCCCTTCCATGAGATCCATGATCCCACCGGATATGGATGGGATCTATGACATAGAGGGCATTGTAGAAGAGGATGTGTTTAGGACAGGAGGTAGAGGTCGTCCCCAAAAACAGTATAAAGTCCGGTTTGCCTATCAGGAACCGGAAGACGACCGCTGGTTCACGAAAGCAGAGCTCCTAGAAACTGCTCCCGACATAGTCAGAGCCTATGAGCGTGACAGGAAAGGTAAAGGTCCCGCCTTGGACTGAAATTTTCTTGGAGGACCTCGAAATTAGGACGGCGGGAGTGAAACGGTTTTCACCTTTTAACAGTAGCGGATGCAGTACCCAGGGTTCGATCCCTAGACCTCAC